GGCAACACTCACTCCGGCCGGCGACAGTGCTTCGACGTTCAACACGTACATGCGACCTGGAATGCAGTGCCTGCATACAATGGGACTGTACGAGGTACACTCCGCAAGCACGAACAGATGGTGCATCAGGAAATCTCCGAATCGACGATCCTGCTGTGAATTCGTCATTGACGGGCCGAGTCGTGCAACTGAAACTGGATGACCGATGATCAGTCGGTGTTTTTTCGGCCATACATCTGTCTCTGCTGCTCCTGCCGAGTGCATCCGGAGCCATCATTCAGGTGACCAACTTCGGCGAGTTGCTGAACCAGTTGTCCGGATTTGGAAACGCGACCGGACTCAACGCGGCTTCGTTCACCACGGACGACTCGTACTACACACTGGGGTCCATCACATCCCGGTTTGATAACTCGGCCGGAGCCACCGCTGACATCGGCCTGCAGCTTTACAGAGACTCCGGGGGAGTTCCTGGCAACTTTGTCGAGGACCTGGGTACCATCACCGTATCCCAGACGAATGCGGCCATTGATCTGTCGTTTGCATCCGTCGGCTCTGTCCTGAGTCCCAACACGACCTACTGGAGTGTGTTTTCCAGCACAGGACTCAACAACGTCCTGCAGGTCGGCACCAGTTCAACCGGTGAAGTCTCCCCCGGGTCATGGACGATTGGTATGCAGACACTGGTGAGCCGGGATGGCGGCGGATCGTGGAACGGATTTCTGCCGGCATTCGCACTGTCGGTGAGCGCAGAACCGGAGAACATCCCGGAGCCATCAGGATTCTCGCTTCTGAGCCTGGGGACGCTGTCACTGCTTTGGCGTCGTCGACGTCGGCAGACGTCTTGACAGCGATCCGCCCCCGGACGGGTACCCCTGCCAGGAACTGCTGGTAGCGTCGAAGACGAGGGCTGTTCCGCATCTGCGGGCGAGCTTCAGCGTGGTCGCGAGTCAATGAAGCTCCGGGACTGCCTGGGCGGGCCTGAAGTTCGCCCAGCCGATAGTTCCGGCACGGCCAGCAGAATCTCCGTGGCAGGCAGATTCTTCGAGAACTTCGCAGCTTCCCGGCAAACTGCCTGACCGGATCCGCCGATATCTACTGGTGAATGCTGCGTCTGTCCCGCTCAACGGCTCGCTGCCCTCCGGCGAACCGCCTGTGACCGTCGCCGCCGCCATGACCGGGCATCACGACAACGTCTCCTTCCCGCCCGCGGAGGATCCCCTGCCTCCACCTGTCCCTGGAATCGTTCCGTACCGGTCACACCACCCTGCGTCTCGAACGTTCTTCCCCCCTGCCTGCTTTCGAGGTATCCGCATGCCAGTGCTCCACGGTCACTGTTCGTTCAGTGAAGCAGACGACTTCGTTCACGTGTTTATCAGCGCCGGATTTGCAGGAGGCCCGTGGCACACACAGGAAGCAGCATTGCAGGAGCTGATCGACGGACTGTCCGGGCTGCGGACACGTGCCTTCGTCCTGGACCTCTCCAAAGTGGCCAGCTCAGGCAGTGCCGTGATCACCGCAGTTGTCCGGATCTGGAAAAGTGTGGCTGCCGGCGGAGGTCGGCTGGCCGTGTTCGCACCCGGCGATCAGATTCAATCAGCCCTGTCCGTTTCCGGCCTGTCCAGCCGCATGACGGTGGCCCGCAGTGCCGAAGAAGCGCTGGATCTGCTGGGCATTTCCAGTGCCGCTCGAATCCGACGACGCGAAGCCCTGATGCTGAAGTGGAGTGCTCCGGTGGCGGCCGCTATCGCCATTATCGCCATGATGCTCACCCGGTTCTCACTCAGCCCGATCGAACTGGAACGATCGTTTGCCCTGGTGGCGACGATCTGCGCCGCTGTTGCCGGCGGTGGCGGAGGATTGAGCGCCGTGCGTGACCTGGGCGCACTAATCAGTTTCCAGGGATTCGTTTCCGCGACCGGAATTCTGACGCTGATGACGGCCATCGGCAGCTGGACTCTGTAAAGCCGGCCAACTCGCAGGACCATCAGTCTTCCGGTTCACCCACGTCGACCTCTGACCAGTTGACGGCCTGATCCTGCGACTGATGCTGCTCCAGAATCTCGTGAGCACGTCCGGCATCGGCGGGATTCACCAGCACCACGACATCACCCGGCGCCTCCGCACGGAAGGACGACGTAAAGCCACCGGCCGCCACCGCCTGAATGCCCGCATCGGTGAGTGCGGCCACAATGACGGCGGCCTCCACCTCCGTCGGCACGGCCACCAGTTGGTGCAGATCTTCTGAATGGTCAGCCATAGTGCGCTTACTTTGATGATGCTGCTGAATCGTGGGAGTCACCGACTTCCGACTGCCACCAGTTGTGGACCTCCAGCACATGTCGTTGATTGTAGAGGCGGTTTCACGGCCGGGTCCATGAGATCCCGAATAATGCTGCATCACCAGGCCGGCGGCTTCTCTGCAGAGCAGGGGGCCTCTGTCGGTCGCACGACACCTGGGTCATGAAAGCGTTCATTCTGTCGGCAGCTGTCAAGAGAAGGTTACGGGGGCCGTGGTGCCGACAGGCGATTTGTAAAAAGCGACCACAGCACGCCTCACACGGGTCAGCCCGTCCGATACACTGAATCAGCCGCATCAGGACCAGAGGATGACTGATCGAGGCCGACAACAGACTCTGCAGAAGTCCCCCGGCTCACGCATCGCCGTGAGTCGTTAACGGGCGATGACAGACTGGCACCCGCCTTGAGAATTCTTCCACGGTCTGCCGAAATCGGGAGTCGGTCGTGGCCGTGATGACACACAGGCATCACGTCGTGAGTTCCATCGTCTGGTCAGTTTCAGGAGGCTTCCATGTCAGTACTGGCAGAAACGGCCACCCATACGGCTCTTCAAAGTCTGGAAGAGCTGGCCGCATTTCCGGTCGAACAGGTGACTTTGGAAGAACGGATCCGGTTGTGCCGCGAGTGCGCCGACGGTGTGGTGCGCATGGCGCCGGAATGGGTTCGCCTGGAAGGTGAGGTCAAAGAACTGGCCGAAGGTCAGCGGGCGGAGTGTGTGCTGGGCGGCCCTGCCGTGGTGCTGCGACAGCTGCAGCTGTCGATCCAGACACTCACTGCTGTCGCGGAGCGTGGAAAACCGCAGCTGCCAGGTACTCCTCGCACCACCGCCACCGGCCAGCTGGCCGTGCCCGTATTTCCGACCCGAGGTTTCTTTGACTCTGTGACGTTTGGCGGACTGTCGGCCGAAGTGCACATGCAGCCGGATGTCGATGCCCATCAGCTTCATGGCGATCTGCTGGAACACCTGGGCAGCGGCCAGATCCATGGAATTGCGCTGGTTCTGGGAGCAGGTAATGTTTCTTCCATTCCGGCCACCGACACGCTCAATCGCGTGATCTTCGAAGGTCGCCGCGTGCTGCTCAAACTGAACCCGGTCAACGAGTATCTGGAAGGCGTCCTGAACGAGGTTCTCGGTCCACTGGCTCGCGCCGGGCTGTTGCGCATCGTGACGGGTGATGGCGAGGTGGGTGCGGCACTCGTTCGCGATGAACGAATCACAGAGATTCATGTCACCGGCTCGGTGGTGACTCATGACTCCATCGTGTGGGGAGTTGCTCCGGGAGAACCGCGTCCGGATCAGCCGGTCACCGACAAATGTGTCACCAGTGAACTGGGCAATGTCACTCCCTGGATCATCGTTCCCGGACGCTACTCCAGTCGGGAACTGGCCTCGCAGGCTCAGCACGTGGCCGCATCGATTACGAACAACGTATCGTTCAACTGCATCGCCACCAAAATGATCGTCACGTCCCGGCAGTGGCCTCAGCGCGATGAATTCCTGCGACTGCTGCAGAAAGCGCTGGATGAAACACCAGGCAGGAAGCCGTATTATCCCGGCGCCGTCGAACGGTACACTCGATTCGCCGGAGTCGAAGATCCGCTGAATGCGTCAGGACATCTGCCGTGGAAGCTGCTGGTCGACCAGTCTCCGTCGGAACGGCCTGAACTGTTTGCCGAAGAGTCGTTTGTGTGCGTGTGTGCTGAGACGGCGCTGGAAGAAGTGGATTCGAAAAAGTTTCTGGAAGCGGCGGCTGAGTTCGTCAATGAGCGACTGTATGGAACTCTGAGCGCCGGCATCACGCTGCCTCGAGGACTGCAGAAGTCGGAACCGGAATGGCTGGAGCGCACGATTGCCCGGCTGCGATACGGATCGGTCTGCATCAACCAGTGGTCCGGACTGGCTTATGGACTCATCAGCACACCGTGGGGAGCCTGGCCGGGCAGCACGTACGAAGATGTCCAAAGCGGGATTGGCAGCGTGCATAACACGTATCTGCTGGCCAACTTCGAAAAATCGGTACTGCAAGGTCCGCTGGTCAATTCCCCGAAACCGGTGCTGTTTCCGTCTCATCGGAAGGCTGAAACGGTCGGCTGGAAGCTGCTGGAACTGTATCATCGGCCGGGCGTGCTGCGACTGCCCGGGCTGATCCTGGCGGCCGCCACTGGCTAGAGGCAGTTTCAAAACTGGTCTGATCAGGTGTGGCCGGGGCTGGAATGCAACGAAGCCCCGGTGAATTCCACGTTCCGGGGCTTCCTTCGTCCAGCCCCGGCCACCCGCTCTCTGGTTTTGAAACGACCTGTAGGCTCTGTGAATCGGTTCTGCTCGGGGAGGGCGAGGCTCCTGCCGAGCCGAATGCCAGGAAAAAAGCACGGTTCAGCGGGAGCTTCGCCCTCCCGAATACTGCACATCGCAGGATTGAACCAACAGAGCCGCCGGCGAAGCGTGCCAGATGGCAAAAAAATTTGTCTGGCACGAGCTTCATCCTCCCGTTTTCTGCATGATAGGATCACTGATCCGCCAACTCCGGCTGCCACCGTGGCGACGTCGTGCCGCGTTCAGTCTCCCCGAGAATCTTCAAAGGAATGCTGCCGTGTCAGAAGTCACAGAACAGCGACGCGTCTTCTGGTGGCTGGATGAATACAGCCGCTACCATTTGAATCCGGTCAACAAACTGATTCACTGGATTTGTATCCCGGCCATCATGATGACGCTGCTGGGACTATTGTGGTCACTGCCGGTCCCGGAGGCGCTTGGAGGTCACAGTACGCTGCTGAACTGGTCCAGTCTGCTGATTCTGGTCTCGATGTTCTTTTATCTGAGTCTGTCACTGCCGCTGGCCATTGGCATGGGACTCATCACCATTGGTATGCTGGCGTGTTTTGGCCCGCTGGAATCCGTGCGCAGCGGGCTGGTGTGGCAGCTGTCGGTGGCGGTGTTTGTCCTTGCCTGGATCGTGCAGTTCATTGGACACAAAATCGAAGGCAAAAAACCCGCCTTTTTCCAGGACATTCAGTTTCTGCTGGTGGGGCCCATGTGGCTGCTTGCTGACGTTTACAAACGGCTGAAGATTCCGATTTGAGCATTCAACGCTGTCAGTACCAATCGTTCCGTCTCCTGCGAGCAGGAAGTGCCCAGGCGACTTCATCGTCGTGGCTGTATCGCCAGACGATCGTTTGTTGCCGTGCGCTGGTCATCTTTGGCATGGCATTGACTGCCATGCTGTGCGGCCCAACCGCCTGCAGTGTGGCTCAGGAACAGTCCGCATCCGCCACCCCCGATGACATCGCCTTTTTCGAAGCACGCATTCGTCCGGTCCTCGTTCGACACTGCTACGAATGCCATTCATCGGCGACTGCTGAACCGGGCGGAAGTCTGCTGCTGGATTTTCGAGGCGGTGTGCTGAACGGTGGTGATTCGGGAGCAGCTGTCGTTGCGGGCGACCCGGATTCCAGTCTGCTGCTGGAAGCACTGCGATTCGAATCCCTGGAAATGCCACCCACCGGTCGCCTGCCGGACCACGTCATTCGCGACTTCGAAGAATGGATCCGCCGAGGCCTGCCGGACCCGCGCGCGACCGCTCCTTCACCCACCGAAGCGGCGGAGGCCGCCTGGACGGTACAGCTGGAAGAACGACGCAGCTGGTGGAGTCTGCAGCCGCTGGCCTCAGTCGAACCACCCGTTGTGGCTGATGACGACTGGTCTGCGACCCCTGTCGACCGCTTCGTACTGGACAGCCTGCAGCAGTCCGGCCTGACGCCGGCTCCACCCGCCGACGCCGAAACACTGCTGCGCCGGATGTCTCTGATCCTCACCGGCCTCCCCCCGGAACCTCAGCGTGTTCTGGAGTTTCCTCAGCAGTATGCGGCCGGCCCGGAAGCGGCGCTGAACGAACTGGTGACGTCACTGCTGAACTCACCACACTTCGGGGAACGGTTCGCTCGTCACTGGATGGACGTCGTGCGCTACACGGACACCTATGGCTACGAATGGGACAACCCGGCGCGAGGTTCCTGGGAATACCGAGACTATCTGATTCGCGCATTCAACGAAGACGTGGGATTTGATCAGCTGATTCGGGAACAGCTGGCCGGCGACCTGCTGCCGGAACCTCGCATCAGTGAACAGGAAGGTGTCAACGAAAGTCTGATTGGTCCGATGTTCTTTCACCTGGGAGAACATCGCCATGGCAGCAGCCTGGATTTTAATGGCATCCACCAGGACATGATCGACAACAAGATTGATGCGTTTTCCAAAGCCTTTCTGGGGATGACGGTCGCCTGTGCCCGCTGCCATGACCACAAGCTGGATGCGATTTCGCAGGCCGACTACTACGCACTGGCAGGCGTCTTCATGTCGCCCCGCTGGACATCGCGTGTCATCGATCGACCAGGCAGATACGACTCGCCCATCACGCAGCTGAAAAAACAGCGAGACAACATTCAGCAGAAGCTGGCGGCGTGGTGGCTGGATGTCACCGGTCCTCAGTCATCAGTCGCCCCGCTCAGCGGCTCAACACTGCACGCCTGGGCCAGTTCGCGTCAGCAGCAGCTGCAAAAAGCAGCACCGGAGTCCATCGGCAATGTGCTGCATCAGATTCTGACCGCTGACAGCCCGTCCATGGAGTCCGTCTGGTCGGCGATGGCTGATCAGTGGCGAACTGATCATCAGACGCGCCGTGAATCCAACATGAAGAACTTCACTCGGCTGGTCAACCTGAGTGAGCCGGGGCTGCCGGAAGGATGGTCGATGGAAGGCGACGGCATCCGGCATGGATTCGTCCATCAGGGCACAGCGCTGATCAGTCTGAATGGAGACACTCTGGTCAACGAGCTGCTGGCTCAGGGTTATCACACGCACGCGCTGTCATCGCGTCTGCCGGGCGCGGTGAAGATTCCTCCGCTGGGATCGATCGACCGACAGCACCTGAGTCTGCGGGTGCGAGGTTCAGAGTGGGCCGGGCATCTGGTCATCCCAGGAAACGCGTTTCAGTCGGAATTCGTCACATTTCTGCAGCCCGGTGATCCGGCCGGCAAATGGATGCTGGTACCGGACCGCGCGCTGAAGAACGGAGTGACACGTGTTTTCTCCGAACTCATCACCGCCTCGCTGAATCCCAACTTTCCACCTCGCACCGGACTGGCTCGAGCGGGAGACGTGAAACTGCCGAATGACGATACCGGCTTCAACAAACGCAGCTGGTTCAGCCTGACGGGGATCGCCGCGCACGACATCACGGCCGTTCCACAGGACGAGCGACAGGCATTTGTCGGCCTGTTTGGTGCCGCCTCCGCACCGACAACCGTGGAAACCGCATGGGAGCAGATAGCCAGCTGGCTTCAGGGTTCACTGCGTCGCTGGAGTGACGGGCAATCCACTGCGGGAGATGTGCAGGTCCTGAACTGGATGCTGCGTGAAGGGCTGCTGCCAAATCAGCAGACAGCTGCTCCGGAACTCGCAACAGCGGTCCAGCAGTACCGTGAAACAGAATCACAGATCGCGTTTCCTCGCACCGTCAACGGCATGGACGAACGCAATACACAGCCACTCAACTACCGACTGAACATTCGCGGCAACGTGGATGACGAAGGTCCCGAAGTTCCCCGAGGGTTCCTGACGGTGTTCAATGCACAGAACAGCGTTAACCTCAGCCCGCACAGCGGTCGACTGGAGCTGGCTGAGTATCTGGCTGGTGGGCAAAACGCTCAGGCGGCGCGTGTGTATGTGAACCGCGTCTGGCAGTGGGTCTTTGGAACCGGCCTGGTCGCCACCCCCAACGACTTCGGCAAACTGGGCGACCGTCCTTCTCATCCGGAACTGCTGGACTGGCTGGCCGCGGATCTGATCGCTGATGGCTGGTCGACCAAACGACTGCTCCGCCGCCTGCTGCTCAGCCAGACATTTCGCCAGTCCGGTATCCATTCTCAACAGGCACGGGATCTGGACCCGGACAATCGACTGCTGCACCACTACTCCACGCGACGACTGGAAGCGGAAGCCATTCGTGACTGCATGCTGCAGGTATCCGGACAGCTTGACCCGGCCCTGTATGGACCTCCGATCAATC